CTTCACTTCTCACAGACAGGGGAAAATACGACTGTGAGCCTCCTAAACTCCAAAGAAGTTTTCTACTGAGTTCTACGGTATCATTTCAGCCAGACACCTTGCTTCGTAGATCTCAATTCAGACTCAGGCAAAACCCAGTACGGTTTATTACTACATTGTTTAAAAAAATTAAAGGAAAAAAAGTAGCAAACAATCCTCCATGCTTTATACACAAACCCGAGTTCCCGCCTGCCCCGGCACCGAGCGCCCCCGGCCCGCCCAGCCCCGCGGACAGCCCGGCGCGGCGCAGACGCACTCCGGCTTGTATCGAAATCTTTATTAGAACGATCCCCAAGAACTGCAAAACGGTGAAGTAACAACAAGAATTAAGCACTTCCGTTATCAAAGATACTTAAACAATAGGATTCTATTTCTGCATAGCAGAAGCAATAGGATTTAGAGCTCAAAACATCATGCTCGTGTTAATTCGGTTTTGACAAAACAATACAATCTTAAGAATCATTTCAATGAAACCTACCTTTCATTTCTCAAACCTCAAACAGCCATTTTTATGGCTTTAAAAGTCATTATTTGGGACAAATGCATGTGGACATTTTGTAGCATAGAGTAACAGACAATTTTAATACTAACAGCACTAGTGTTATTTGAACATGAAGAAACACTCATTTTCTAATTGTTTACAGTGCAGTACAAATTACAAATAACCCCAAAAATCATTGCCTGTATCAAAAGTTTAAAAATGTAGAACTATTTATAAAATGGTTCCAGAATAGGAAATTATCAGTCTTGAAATGGAGAAGGAACCTTATGCTTATAAACACACAAATAAATGCATTACAGTAATATATATGTAATTTTTAGCTTTATTCCTTCTGTTGTAAGTAGCAAGAGCCCAGTTCTACCCACAGTTACACAGGTACAATACACATGATCATTGTAAACAGAAAGCAGAATAGGCCCTACTCAGAAGTCCACTATACCACAAATTAAAGCTAATTTAAAAATCTACTGTATAAAAATGGAACAGTCTTGCATTGTTTTAATTTATTTGCAACACTATTGTCACATTTTCTCCTGGACCACACCATCAATTTTCATAATCTCTCAACAGCAACAGTGTGCTGCATCACACAGTGCAAACACATCCAATATCCTTACTACAGTTGATTTCTTGTTAGTCAATTTGAAATGAAGTGTTGGTTTTCCTCTCTAGCCTTTTCTGTTTTATAGTCTACACAATATAAATGAATTTCAAAATGTATGCCAGGTAAAGTAACAGCCAGTAAGGCACTTTGTCTGCAAGGATACAGCTGTCCAGGCTGAGCAACTGGTCAAAGGGAGACATTCTGGGTTACTCAAAAACAGTCAGCTAATTCTTCATAACCACTTCTCTGACAGCCCACTTGTGGAAGAACACTTACTGACAATTGAAGAATCAGCCTGACATTGCATCCACCAAAATATTTTTCCTGTTCTACAGCAGAACATGCAATAGTAAAATATTTCATAAAATACTAACGTTTAAAAGAATATTCAGCATCCTTGGATCACCCAAGAATCATCTGCTGAATACTGTTTAGAAAAAAAAAATCCTCATCAGAAGAAATGATCCTATCTTCTTGTTTCTGTGTTTTGTTTCCATGTATATGTAGTGGTTTTTTGTTGGTTTGTGGGTGTTTGTTTTGTTTTGTTTTGTTTTTACAAAATTTGAAGGCTTGACATAAAAACTTTGGTATAAAACATGTAAATGAAAGCCATTCAGTAATATGCTTTAGGGAGATACAATGAATCCAAACCAAACTAAACAAATGTGAACACATGGATGTGATAGCAAGTGTTTCTACTGTCTTGGTTTCTACATTCTGCTTGTTTGTGATCTTGAGATTGGGTTTTTTTCTACTCATGTGAAAGGGTCTTTCTTCAGCTCCACCTGCCTTTCCACAGCTCCTCCCAGAGAGAAGGTGCCTGGCCTGACCCGCGTCCCGCCCCGGCCGCGGTTCCGGGGTCTCGCACGCCTGCACCCCGGCACCACAGCGCAGACCCAGCGCACCTGGTGCCACTGTGGGCACTGTGCCACCAGCCCTGGCGGCCTCAGCAAAGCAAGCTCATCCTAAAGCAAGCAACAAAGCCCAAATCCAAAAATATCAGTATTAGTACCTCCTCTGTGGTGCGCATCTGCACGCTCTGGCCCACAGGATTCATTAGGAACCATTATAATAAGATAGTCTTGAAACATCTTAGGTGAACCTTTCCCAAGTAAATATTTGCATAAATTTTGACTAATTATTAGCAAGTTATTTCTAAAAAGCCAATTTTAATATTAAATAGTTACTACCCACTGAATTTATTGATTACAAAATCTACATGGTATTGCTTTGTATTTTCACAGTTCTCATAATTACATAGTAAGAAAATGGCTTTTAAATTTTCTTCTCAGAAATTATGATCAGTTACATGCTAAATACTTTGACAAAATAGTGAGAGGAGCAAATTTATACATACATATATATAATTTTTACCATATATAAATAATAATACAATTTAAAACTTTCACTTTTAGAAATTCCTTTAGTAAATGCATAGGTTTGTTACAAAAGTTTTTTAATCAAATGACTGCATACTATTTCTATTATTATGTTTTATTCCTAGTAAACTCTGTGGTTACATTCATATGATAAAAAAAAGCAAGCTATATTCAGAAATATGTTTTTTCAATTGAGCTCCCAGTAAGACACTCAAGTCCAGTAGAAATATAGATTATGTAATGCAGTTTCTTTAGCTGAAAATTAATCAGTAGTATTTAAAAAAAAAAAAAGCTTTAAAACATGGATTGTAACAAGATCAACAGAATGGTTACAATCTTCTTTAATCACAGAATGGTTACACATACCCCCAAAAGTTAATGACTTAACTCTCAAAAAATATTAGAATCATGGTGAGGTTTGTGTAATCCATTCCATGCACATAATGAGAAAGGAATGATAATGATGATGATGATGATGATGACGATGAAAAACTTAATCTCTCAGAAGTCCTTTTCTTCCCAAAGGTGGGATTCTCAGTCCTTTCTAAAAGTCACGTTTCCTCTAGGGTATCTCAGGAGGGGTTACCAAAATCTAAAGGTGTCTATAATCAGTGGCTACATTTGAAACCATATGCCTTTATTTTACATTATTGGAGTCCTAAACTGAACCCCTCATTTTTGCTCCAGGGAAAAGGGCGCCAGCATAAATTGGACCAAAGAGAAAGCTTACAAGGACACTCCCACCTGCACCTCAGGTCACTGAATTTCAAGATCTTACCATGCAGACAACTGCAAGGGTGTGGATGGTGGCTGCTTGTGCATCAACATGAGCCCAGACCCACGGCATGAAGGACAGTGTTACTGCCTTTGCAGTGATCACAGACATCACAAACCAGAACTGTACGTTAGAGAGCAAAATCCCACTGGGATGTAGATGGTCAGTAAACTTTCCCCAGAAACTTGCCTTCAAATCATCTGGAAAAGAATTTGCACTTCTTTTTGTGACACCAATGGACAACTAGGGTTAGAAAAGTATTTCCAGGTGCTCAACTCCTGTCACAGAACTGGCAAATGTATGGCACATGCCACTCCTGGAAAATGCTGGAATAACTTCTTCAGTGCACTGGAATCCATGAAAACCAGGGGCAGGCCACAGTATGGCTGGGTCCTTGGTTCCTCCAGGAGACTAATAAATTAAAATCTTTTTAGCTCTGTCTTGGCAGCAACAGACTTGATAAACTCTCCAGTGTTAAGACTTTTTCCATCAGCAGAGCTGTTACTTAATGGCAGTGACAGTTCCACTACTGGGAGGGTCATAAACCACACCGAATGTTAATGTGCTTTCTACCAACAGGTGTATTAATGACGTTGTACTAATGACTGGGCAAATTTAACAATTAAAAAGCAAACTAAATCTTTCAGCACATCTCTCAGTAGTTGAATAGTTCATCCTGTACCATGAGAAGATTTGAGTTGAGTGTCCTAGTACCTTACTGTGTGAGCCACTGGGAGCATGGAGAGGTTGAGGATATGCAGCCCTCTGCACCTGCACAGCCATTCCAATGGCTTGGCAGGAGCCCTTCTAAGCTAGGCAGAGGCAATGGAACTCCTTGTGCACACACACAGAGCAAAGACTTTCATTCAATGCAAAAAAAGGACTGCATTTAGTTTTCCTTTCAGTGAAGCTCAACTTGCTTGTAACACAGAATGCAATCAGAGACTTGTCAGGGATAGGGGGATATTAACACATGTGCATCTCTCTTAAGACATCAGCTAAAAATTATACATTCACCATCTTGTACCAGATGAAACCTCATTTGTGTAAACCACAAATCACTTCAGCCGCAGTGGGACCTTCTCCAAGTTATATAATCTTTTAAGCACAACTCCCAGAAAACTTCACTTTAAGCAGTATCAACTTAAGTATTTTCTGACTGCCTTCTTTGGGATCTGCAGGGTACCATCATGTCTTAAAAGATGCAGTTGTGGATGTGATTAAAATATCACTACATTTTTCAGTGTAGGGAATCGTTAATGCATGTATAATCACAGTTTAAATAGCTGCAAACCAGCTTGTACAAAAAAATACAATCATAGCACCATATTTACAAATTTAGTACCATCTCCTCATTAACTGGAGTCTCAAACTATCTTTTTTTATGGCTAATTAGGTTATACGTTAGTGCTTTCAAAAAATTGCCTGAATTTCTTTTACAAATATACACTTATAAGAAACATTATCAAAACTGCTGTCATCTAAGGCAGCAACTTGTATTACAAAAGTTATTAAAACATCATTATACATTTATAAAAGTTTCAAATTTACATTTTCCTTTTCATAGGCACTCTATAAACTAAAATGTGGCCTTGTTTTCACAGCTGTTAGTTTAAGCATTTAAACTGGTTAAATGTTACCAATGTTGCTCTTGTTCTTTATATAAGCAAAAGGAAAAAAGAATCACCCATTAACCAGAAGCATCATTTACAGTTTTTACTTTTGCCTACTTTATACAGGTTTTGCTTAAAAGTGACACTTTTTGATGTTGAGGTTTAGTGTTCATTATCCTGATGCCTTCTTAGGGCTTAGTTTCTTCTTCCCTAGAATTCGGTGGAGGCTAGCTGACATGAAGTAGGGTTTTGCTGTAGATCCATCATTTCTTTCCAGGTCTTCACCTGAATTTACACAGCAAAACCAGTCAAAAAAGGAAACAGCAGTACAACCACACACAGAGACACAAACAGAATTGAAAAAAGGAGAGTGCAATAGACCCAACATTAAAAGAAACACAATCAAGGTAATTTAGCTTTATTATTAATTTGATGAAGGACATTATGAAATTTCCATTTTCTTAGACCACAAGAGGTTTTACATGATGCAGAGACACAAACATCTTGCCATTTTTTAATGATAGCAACATATCCCTTATATTCTCCAGATCTTTAGTTTGTCAGTATAGGTAGAAATTTTCAAAACTCTCATTCCTTCACTGAACCCTGGAATTTTGGAAATCTCTTGCTAGAAAATGTGTCACAAAAACAGCCATAGAGTTAAGCACTTTCTAAAACTGGACCATTTTTCACTGCCTAGGATAAAGTTCATTTGAGAACCTGTTGCCGTGAATTAGTAATATTCTATCTGATCTATTGTTCATTACTTAATGGGAGCATGGGAAGCAGAACAGAACATGAATTTAAAACAACAAGGCAGACATTACTTTTTTCCCCACAGAAAAGTGGGAGTTGAGTGTTATTCATGCTATGTCTGCCTGTGATCATGTTTGCTTAGAACCAAAGTCCATAAAATGAGATAAATAAGATGTAGCTCTCAACTAAATACCAATTTTGAGTTTTCTAACTGATCTTGCTCATGTTATTCTTTGGCAACCCTGTTTTTCAGAATCCCTGCTAACCTTAGTTTCTATGGAAGTGAGGTTAAAGTGAGTGTTTAAAGAATCAGTATTACCACGTTTACCCCACTTCAGTAATCCATGGTGCGTATTTATGAAAGATGAAGCCTGTGACTATTTCCCTCAGTATTATCAAAGAATCTGCAAATTGCAAGAACAATGACTGCCATGTAACCAACTTCTACTTGTGTCCTGCCACGTGGCAACATACTTGGACTTACCAGAATGGCTTTCATTATAGAAAAATACAACACACGGAAGGTACAACATGCTAAGGATATCTGCTTCTTATAATCATATCCTAATTCAAGAACAACAGATTTCTTTTGCAATTTTAGCATTCTCACTGGACAGCCTGAACAGTAGTCTCTTTGACAGGGCCTATGATCGTTTGCCATTGGGAGTCCAAGGGACAGTTAGCTTCAAGTGGTATTTCACAGAATCTTTGAGGTAATTCAGCATAATACTGTGTTCAGTTATTAAACTGAAAACAAAGTACCACCTATATACCAAAGAATGTATTTGTTACTGTCAAGACACTTAAGCAAATACTGTACAGGGCTCTTCACAAAGCACCCAGAAGCAAACTTAATGAAATTTAAGGAACATCTGAAAAACAAAAGCCAGATATTTCCATAAACCATAAAGCTACTTTACACTTCTTAAAGTAATTAAATTTGAAGCATGGAAAACCATATCACAGAGCCAATACGAAAAGAAGAAGCTGCTAATTTTTCATACAGTTTGCTAGTATGTCACCAGACTTCTGTGTCTGGAAGGATGGATAAGGTGATTTTTTACTCCTCTTTCCATGTCTTGCAGGAATTACTGAAAGAAAATGTAGTACTCACAAAAGCAGAGGAAGAGCGTGTCGACACACATTGCATAGACACTGAAGAACCCGTGTGCAACTAGGTAGGAGCCAATGATGACTGTCTACAAAAAACAAACCACAATAAACCCCCAAATTTCTTTCAGCATCACTGTGGTAGTATTAAAACAAGTCAGAAGCCTAGTCTGCTATGCAAATTTAGAAAAATGTAATGTCAGCTCTGTATTTCTACCAAAGGTTACTACTGCTGTGGACAGGGATCACAGGTTCAAGACACTGCATCCTAACATGTAGTAGCTTCCAGTTTTCCAGCTGGAAATAGCTCCAAACTGCAACTATTTCAATCTCTGAGGAGAATATATGCCAAGAATATTCCAAACTCTTTCAAGAACCACTCAGCTTAGAGATGTTCTGAAGAGTAAGGGGGGTCCTACAAAAGGAGAGAGAGATGCATTCCAAGTCCCTTCCGTTAGAAGCCATACTGTCATCAGGGTCTTGCTGTCTGGGAAGTCTGAGGAGATGTGAAACCTAATTTTTCTGAAGATTCAGAGTCACTGCAGTGCCACTTCTGCCTGAAGGATCCCAAGGACTTGAGTGCAGCAGCTCAGTCCTCACTTGAGTGGATACCATGCCGCTGAGATGCTAACCAAAGAAGCTGTTACCAGACCATGCCCTGAGTAGTCTGAGCACCTCCAACTAGCCCAAGCATTCAGGAAATTAAATGGTTGCCTTACCAACAATGGTACCCAGTAGTAATTTAGCATTGGCACTTCCTGTGCAAAGACTGGTATTCTCTGTGTGAAGAAAAAGAATGCAAGAACACCTGCAAGAAACACAGGCAATTAGTTCTTCCCATGCTAGCTCTGATTTCCCAGGATCTAAAGAATGGATAAGACAGACAACAGATCCAAGGCTAGTTTTAATAAAAGTTTGTAAAAAATACATTCTTAAATAATAATTATCTAACAGAAGACATATGTAAATTAATCAATTACCATAAAGATATTAATGGATCCAGAAAGACTTTAATGAGTTGTTTGGTTTTACCATTCTACTGAATTTAACAGCAAAATTAATAAATACTGTAATTCTACAGTGATGACAAAATACTTCATATCAGCTCTTGGTACTAGTTTTACTTTTGATTAAAATATAATTAATTAGTTAACTTTGAAGATATACAGAATGTAAAATATGGCTATTTGTAAAATAGGTTTTTGAAACTGCTGTGATAATTTGAAAAAACCACAAAGAACACTGCCAACCTGAATTTCTGGAAGTCCTTCATTTAAAAGATAGAAACCACTTTTCTGTCACAGAAAACCATGAATAGCCTACTTGATAACTACTCTTCTGAATAATCTACTCAATATCTACGGGTAACAAAGAAAACCCTGTAAGGATGCTAGAAATAACCTATTTCCTTTACTATATCTTATAGATATAAGGAGCTCAAACACAGCAAAACTTCAGGTCCATGTCTGCAAACCTGTACCACCACATTTGTAGGCAACTGTCTGTCACCAGGTGAATCTCATTTACAATTTTGTTCAGTTCTTACAAAAGGAGAACTGACTGTGGCTGACTTATTGGACGTGAATTTGGTTTGATTCAACTATGATGCTGTAGCAGCAGAAGTCCTTGCACCAGCCATACATTCAAAAGCTGTAAAAGCAATTATGGAAAATACATTGTCAAGGCAAAACAAGTGCTGGGTAGGGGCAGAAAGGGAAAAAAATAGGTTTTAGATCCATCTAGCAAATCCTAGAAACACAGAAACAGATTTCCAAATAGTCAGACCAATGAGAACCTCCAGCTGCTAACTAAGCACATATGAATATGGCAGGCATGCTTGTGGGTACCAGAAAATAGAGCGTACAATTTAGAAAACAAACAACCAGCTTACCTACACCACCAGCGACAAGGATTTTCCCCAGAAATAGAAGGAAGTCTGTAACTTTGTCCAGAACTGCAACCCTGTTTAGCAAAGGAAAAATGAGACAAAATCATCACAAACCAGACATTCGTATTCTTTCTCCTTAAAAGTATGGATAATTGCAAAACATGACCAGAAGCTGTCTTCTGCTGGTTTTACAGGCTGACAACACAGCACCACAGACAGGCAGTGCTGAGATGGGTGTTGCTACAGCATCTCAGGAGGCAAAAAATAACTGAGCCTTTGTTGGGCAAGGCCTTAATGTAGCAGTGCTGCTACAGGACTCACATGAGGACTATTTATTCCTCAAGTTGCTTAAAAAAAAATCAACCAACCCAAAACTTCAAAATATATTTTTATTTCAGCCTTCTAGGGGCGCAGGTAAGCCAGGCCAGAATAGGAGAAGTACACATCAAAACAAAAAGCCATATTTATGTAGATTGCTGGTAGGCCTCCTTTTCACTTGGTCCTATTTGGCCATCTTTCATGACCTCATAATATGCCAAATCTATCTATTTTAAGATATCATGGTACAACACGGAAGGCAGGAAACCTCACAAGTGGGAAGATAATCACAGATGAAAGAAGGTAGACAGAAAAGCTGACAATAAATCTACAGCTCTCATTGAAGCACAGCAGTGAGTTTTTGCTCAATGTTCTGCCAGTCTGTCTTATCAGAAACTGCAGATAAATAATGAGATGAAAAATGAACTTTGTATCATCAACCTCTTGACAGCACTGAGGGCCATATTAGCATTATGGATATGGTAATATACAGTACTGACTACTGTGAAAAATAAACGTTAAGAACTACTAAAGAGACAAATCATCATTAACCTGTCAGAATTCAGACTTGGCAAAATACACAAGATAAAAACATCTTTATTTGAAACAACAGAATTATATGTCTAGCTTTTAACTATTGCTCTTGCTGATTAAGAGCAAAATCATAAAGGGCAGAGGGGTGATATTCTGTAAGGAAATGATGGCAGCTTCTCTTTTCTATTGCACAGGCATTACTCAGTATGGCCATCACTGTCCTGATATTAGTGCAGGGTAACACAGTGAAGATATTCCATCTCCCAACTCCAGTCCTTTCCTCGTCCTTTCCTCCAGTCATTTCCACTTTCCTCTTTCAGCCTTCGCTTCCATTTCCCTCCTCCTCCAGTCCTTCACTTAATGCTTTTAAACCACCTCACCAGTTTTACTGAGTCTCTTGCTTGGTAATTAGACTGTGTTCTATTGCATCAATATGGTCTGCTCCTAAGTTATTCTCCCATTACATTTTGATCTTACTATAGCAAAGCAGAAGCCAGGAGCAATGAAGGAAAGTATGATGAGAACAGGGAGTTTGGCAACACTCTTGGTAGTGGAGAAAAGAGCCAGGAAATTTCCAAGCATCAGAGGATATCTGGCTGTGTTAAAGACAATCTTTTTGAAAGGAAAGTATTCTGTCTTCTTTACTTCCACTCTCTGACACCTCATAAGATTTCTGAATGAATCTGAAGACTTAGGTTTTTCTGCTTTCCCTTTCTTAAACCATGTGGACCAAAGCTCAAAAAATGAACATATGACGAGCACCCCATTCCCATGTATCTGCAGATCTCCTCTCAGGGGCTCCACTTGTTTCTTAGAGGCATTATTACAATGTACTGGGTACTTAGGAATTTAAAGGACCAATAACAACAAAACCATGAGATTGCAACAACGCTGCATAGGTTACTATACTGGCCAGCCTGCTGTTACACACTGAGTGTAAGAAGTGAGAGACATGTTTGAGGATAGAAGCAGCACTCAGCATTTGGAGAAGATATGGGAGAGGAAAGAAGTCTGCCTACAGGGTGCAACAGTAGGAACTCCTGACATTTCCAAGGACTGGGAGATAGTCCCTTACCTCACCACATTCCGCATGAGCAAAAAGAATGCTTCCTTTGCCGAGGTGCAGAAGTTTTTACCATATATGGCAATCTGTAAAATAATAGTGGCTGTTAAGTAATTTAAATAATGAGGATAACTTCTCATATGCCAGGATCTATCTGCATAGTTCTCCCTAATATGTGGTTGTGAAACTCAGATGAACACAAAACACTTTCCTCAGTCACCTGCTACTTCTCAATGTTTCCCATCAGGCTCAGACAGAATACTATCCATTTTTCCACTTCAAATCACCTGGCGATGAGCATGACACCCCTTGTGATCTCACAGGTAGTAGACTAAGTACTTAGTTTGCCAAGCAGAGCAAAAAAGGTACTTGTTGAGGGCTTCTTCTCCCTTTATTAGTTACCTAAACTAGATTTATAGTCAGTGGAAAAGAACAGGCACTTGTAGAGCTGAAGTGAGCTGACCCCTGTAGTTATCTCCTTGGACCTGATGCTGCTTTCCCTGAAGAAGAAATCTGCATAAAATAAAGCAACTAAAGTTATTCAGGAACAAAACCACTTCTTCCTGGAATAGTGTCCACCAGGGTAAGATATACTAGAACAGCTCTCAGCTCAGACAGTTTATGAACTGTAAAGAAGATTGTCGAAAATGCTTCCTCTTCAAGATGGCAAAAATTCGAAACATCAATTGCATCAACACAGGTTGTAATGGACCCACTACAGCCACCTCCTTTGCGACAAGAAGGCTGTGACTGTACCACTCAATCACCAAAACTGCTTCCAGCCAGAACATCCTAGGCTGAAATCTGTGTATGTTAGTTTATGTGAAGATTTCAAACTTCTCCTGTCTGGAAGCTAAGAAGGCTTACTTGGGAGAAGTATCACTGCTTCTGCTAGTAGAATTTGTTCTTTTAACTTCCAGGTTAAAAATACAGGTGGAAATACAATCATCACATGCCTTCTGACCTCCTTATTCAAATATTGCCTCCAAACAGAAATGTCATTAACATGCAATACGAAATAAGCTAATACTCCTGTTGAAATCAGGATATCAATTATTGAATTACAGCAGCAGTTAAGCAGTTATTCCGTCCCTTCCCACTTATTTTGGGGGTGAGGGTGATGGACAAAGACAGGGAAAAAAAGAGGTTGAAATCAGAAGGAAAAAAAAAAATCTTACTTTTTCATAGTAGAACCACATGCACGTACTAAAAACTCCCGTAAATCCCATTATCAGCAGATTCAAGTACTGCTAGCTTTTGATGAACTAGTAGTGTCTAGGATATTTTAATGTCCTAGATAGGGGAAAAAACATGCAGACATGGCACATACCATGATGTAGGCATTTCTGTTTATAAATTTTAAGAATTTTTCCAAACACCAGAAACAGCACTTGAGGCAGCAGAGTAGGAATCTAGTGAAGGAGTTCTGAGTACCTGAAAAGAGCAGGAGAGAGTACATCATACACAGAACTCATTAATAGTCTTCAGAATGTAGAAAACTACTCAGAAGAAGACCTTAAATTGTGACATTATTTTTTTATTTCTAGACTCTCTCTCTCAATCAAATTTAACTCACTAGCTTTCAATTAGATCAGACTCATATCCCATCTGAACTTAGCATTAGGCTCCCAAGAACACAGACTCAGCTTGAGTAAATGAACACAAATTTACCCACTTCAAAAGCAACTACAATGGATAATGTGTTATCAGTCTCTCTTCCTTGCTAAAAAACAGCTTGGGAAAGTAAGGAAGTAATTTAGCAAGGAAGGTCTTAACAACTTAGGGCAGATTAGTAAATCTCACCTTTCAGTTTGTGATCCAGGTATTCCAGTATTACTCTAATAAGCTGGACAATTGCAAGAATTAAGGCTCCAAATGCCAGCGAACCTGTATGGTATCTAAAAACAAAATATTTGATTGTTATGTCAGACGTGTGCCCATGTACATGGATATATGTATGCATATATATATAAAATCAGAAGTGAAGGAAGGTCCATTAGTGGGAATTACATAAAACGAATGGACCTTCATCCCGATCCACCACAGAGGAACAGGATGAAGCCATTGGTGCTGTTGGTGTTTGTGAGTGCTGTGTCTGTGTCTCAGTCTGTGTACACGTGTTGTGTACATGTATTTCGTGTGTGTGTCTACTGGGAGTACCTGCTCAGCATTACAACTGGCTGGATCCAGGGGCAGGGAGCTGCAGCAGCCTTGGTCCTGTAGGGCTACAGGATACAGCCTTCCACTACTAACTACATCTTCCCAGTTGTGCTGGTTGGATGGACTAGAGTCAGTTTTTTTCACAGTAGCTTGTGCTATGCTACGTTTTGGATTTCTGACCAGGACAATTATGGTAACACACCCATGTTTTAGCCATTGTTGAACAGCACTTGCACAGCACCAAGAACTTCTCTGCTCCTCACCCTGCCCCACTGATTAGCAGGTTGAGGGTGACTGAGGAGCTGGGAAGGAAGATGGCCAGGACAGCTGATGCCAAATGATCCCAGGGCACATCACACCATACTGTGCTGTGCTCGGCACTAACAGCTGGTGGAAGGAGGGGTAAGAGGAGAGCATTTGAAGTTACAGAGTTTATTGTTCCAAGACACTGGAACTATACATGAAGAAGCCCTTATGTAGAGGGGATGTGGCTGCCTGTGGGAAATGGGGAATGAATTCCTTGCTTTGCTTTGCTTGTGCATGCAGTTTTCTTTTACCTATTAGACTGTCTTCATCTCAACCCACGTGCTTTTGCATTTTCACCCTTCAGATTCTCTCCCCTACCCCACTGTGGGGGAACAAGCAGGTGGCTGTGGGGGGCTTGACTGCCACCGAGATTAAACCATAATGCTGACTAATCATTTTCTTATGATATTCTGAGATTGGCTTCCCTAGATGGAAAAAGAGCATTTGTCAGATACATGACAAGGCTTACCCAGCTCCAGTCTTACCGTATTGCTCGTCCAAATGAAGAGAAGAGTGGCCACAGTGGAATATCAGCTGGTTTTCGATAGGCCCAGTAATAAGAGGCAAAGGCACCAGCAAGGGTACACTGACCCAGTGCAATTGCAAAGTTCACCAGCCAGAGAAAGACAAAGGCATTGGCTAACTGGAAGATGAAGATGTACTTATGGTACAGGCTTTCTCCTCCATAAAAAGCAAAAGTACATTGAGCACCTGGGCATAATTTAGTCACGTTGGTTGTGTTAAAAGTCTAAATAGAAAGAAAAATAAATAATAATAAGCAATGAATTCTATACATACATAGCCTCTGAAGTTTAGCAGGTTAATACAAATAACATAACTTTGCTTGTTGTTCCATTACGTCATTCAAAACTACAACACTACGTAACCTGTTTACATACTTAAGGATTCATATCAAGGATTTATGCAGTCTTCAGCAAAGACTTAACTTCAAACTAGGTATTGGCAAAAAGGGCTATTCACCACATCCCTGAAACTTGAATAAATGAAATTTGAATTTCAGGAATTTACTTTTAAGATATATAAATGCTTCGTTAAAGAAAATCTACTCAATTAAAACAAAAATAGAATTACTTGAAAACTAGAGGCAAAATTGGATGTTCAGGTAAATTGCCGTGGTTGAAATGAAGAACGGAGCTATACAATTTAATAGAAACTGTGGATGTAGTCACAACTTAGCTTATGTATCTCAGACTATTAAAAAAAGGAGTAATCTTAACATTGAATTACTTTTCCCTATTTCTAGTGTTCATTTCATGTATTTGCTTGGTTTGGACATGAAGTAAAAGCAGATCAATTCTAATTCCTTTATTTTGTAGTATTTAGACATCAGCAGGGTGTGCATCACCACTGCAATACAATGAAATTTAATGCATCAGTCTCTGCTCATTGCCTCTTGTCCCACTGCTGGGCCCCCAGAGCAGAGCCCGGTTCATGCTCTGACCCTCCCTGCACAGGGACAGACAGGGACGGACACAGGGACACCCAGGGACACCCAGGGACAGCCAGGGACAGACACAGGCACACACAGGGACAGCCAGGGACAGACACAGGGACACACAGGGACACCCAGGGACACCCAGGGACAGCCAGGGACACACAGGGACACTCTGGGACAGCCAGGGCTGGTTCCCCTCTCACTGGGGCTCCTCTCCCGGCTGAGCAGCCCCAGCTCCCTCAGCCTTTCCTGGGCACGGAGCTGCTCCAGGCCCTTGCTCAGCTCCAGGAGCTCCTGTCCCTGCTGTGCTGCGGATCCAGAGCTGGACACAGCAGCCAGAGGTGCCTCCAGGGCTGGGCACGGGGGCAGGGTCACCCCTGACCTGCTGGGAATGCTCTTCCTCTTGGCCCCCAGGACAAACTGCTGGCTCAGGGACAGCTTGTTGCCCACCAAGATCCCCAGGTCCTTCTCCATAGAGCTGCCCTCCAGCAGGGCACCTGCAGCCTGTGCTGGTGTATAGGGTTATTCTTCCCTATTGCACAACATTTGATAAATATTTCTAGCTTTTAAAGAATCCTTAAATTCAAGCCCACAGCCAAGTAAAAAAAATTGACTGAAGGAAAAATTAAAAAAAACCCAAGACAAATATTTTTGGAGCTTCATAAAGGTAATTACTGTGCCAGAAGAAGCTCAGCTTCTGCTTCAAGTCATGGCTAGTCCCAGAGCAACTTTGAGGCTCAGCTTTCAAAGTTTACCACTGCCTTCAAAAGACCAAAAAACAGACTCCTCACAAATTCAAGAACATCTTTCCTATAAAATTTTATTTTTGTCTCTTCCTTTCTCACCCTGTAAATTACAATGCTAACATTTACAGGATAGTTTAGCAGAAAAACTAGTTTATGTCTGTAAAATAAGTGTTACCTGAACATTAGGTAATATTTTCAGATTTAACATGAGGACTCATTAATTAAAATACATGCATTTTTTACTAGAAGTGCATTAAATAGTGATTAAGAAATACAGTTAGTATAGCTTTCCTTATTGGGAAATATTTGTTACACTTACCTCCGGATCACAAGTCAGGTTTGCATACTTGCACAGTGTTTGATTAGCCATTACTTTATACACAGGTTCTCCAGATGTGGCCAAAAAACTGAATGGAATATTTTAAGGAGGAATCATAGAACTGTGGTTTTTGAGCAACTTAGGATTCTGCAGTGGGTAACCACTAGCTCTAAAGAACTTGTGTAGATAACAGAAAAACGGCTCTTGCTCTGCAGAGATATACTTGAAGGTTGACAGACAAGACCAAGTACTCTCATTACTTAGAGAACTACTGCAAACTCATACCTGGAGCTGTAATCACCCCTGATCAGAATGGGCAGGGGGCATTGAAAACCATCCCCATCTCTCCTCCACATCTATCTTTGACAAGGCAGATTACGCAGTAGCTCTTGTATTTTGGCAGAAGTAGATACAGAGCATAAGGATGAATTAACACTGTGCTGAACAGCAACAACTGACCTTCTTTGCATATGAAATAACAGCTGGTTTTAAATTATCAATTTTCCCCTTTTTTAATCCTTACCAAACCCTTGTTGTTCAGGAACAAACAGTGATTTCTGTTAGGCAATTAAGAGGAGATAGTGCACTGTATATTCTCTCACTCCTTTCTCATATTTTTCTGAACAAAACACATACATAACCCATTCCACCTCCAGTTAACTAAGAAACCATTAACACCAAGCCTATGGAGCACACAGCACATTAAAGACTGTATTCACTTCATTGAGGGCCTTTTTCACCCCCAAGAGTCAACCTTATGCAGTACACAAGGCTTTGTATGATCCCCCTGCCTTGGCCTGACTTTTAGTCCAGTTTTTTTTTTTTTAATTCTAATAAAATCACTGTCTGGTTTGTGCATCACATGTAGATGTGCAGTGAAGAAGATTGCATCAGAAGAGTAAGTGCTAAGTGACCAAACAGCTCCCTTAATATTCGTTTAATTAATGGGAAATAGCAGAAAATTATTTAGTCTTGCAGACCAGAAGACTTGCTCCAGATAGGTACACAGACAGAAGGATACACAGCTGTCACAGCCCAGTAGGAAATACAAATGGCAATGAGTAAGAAGGTGACGATTGGGTAGAACAGTGTAGACATTATATAGCCAATTGCCCTATAAAAGAAACAAAATATATCAATAAGCTGTAACAATTCCAGAAACTAGCTTTTTATCAGTCCTCTTCTAGCAATTTTGCTTTGAGAACCTTGTTGACACTCATAGCATAACCTAGTACTGGGATCTCAGAATACTGCAGGAATTTTTTTCTTATGTGTTCAAACCTTGACTTTGTAATTTCTAGCACTTCACTTTTGTCAATGGTACTAGAGTGAACTTTTTCCACTTGCCACGTTCCAGCCTGTCTTCTGCTTTCTCTGTCTTCATGATTGCTTCAGAGATCAGTCTCTTTCCAGGCCATTAACTGATTTCCATGACATCTTCTTGCCAATTGCTGCAGATCCTTTACGCCCTTATCCCACTCTGCTCATCCTGTGTTCTTCCTTCACTCCTACAGACCTGAAACTACCTTATTCTATTTTGTATTTGACAACTCTGTTCTCAGCAACTTTCCTGCCTTAAGTGCTAGCTATGTGGGGGCAGAGACAGTCAACTTGTCTTTGCAATGCCAGGACAGACTGACACCTTCCTGCAACTATGTGACTTTCCTTCCATGTGCTGTAGATGAGTGGTGCTCACCTATCACTAATGGAAGGCAAAAGGAATAATTGCCTTCTCCTGTTGACAGCTTAGAGAGCTTCTTTTAATATCAAGGCATATGTAGACTGATATTCTACTGCTAATTCCTGTGGCTAGAATGTGACTAGTGGCAGGAACTTGAGCATGCTAGCTCCCACCCTGCCAGGGACTCATTCTCTGGAAGTGGGAGTTGATACCAGCCCTCCTGGTAAGCCTGCTGCTATCCCAGAAGTGAACATCTCCAGCTGGGTATCCCACTGGATGTGAATTCAGAAAGCGTGTGCTTTGTTTACTGAAACTTACAGGCTGGCTCTCTTTATCACAAACCTTTCTGTGTAGTACTATTTCCTACAGTATTTCTCCTATAACTTAGGGCACCTCTTATGCTATTTGTTTTATAGGATGCTGTTTCCAGACAGCAAAAGGAGAAAAATTTACTCAGTTTCTAAAGGCAAAGCAGTAAATGCTGGGGGGAACGCAAGGAAACTGTCATGTGCAATTCAGAGGTTTTGAGCCAAACATCAATTGCTGTCTGAGCAGAGACAAAAGTCTTTTACGAGTCACACAGGAGGACACAGCTTATGCTGTCTGAGAAATAATCACAACAAATTAGCTGTGTTCAGCAGTTATTGGAAGGCCTCTTAGTTACCATTAAGACCATGCCCTATTATTCCAAAATACTGATTAAGAACTCTTGTTTCTAACTATGGATTTCAAGTCAATTACTGGCATTATAACTGTAATATTTTTGAAAATGTACCTAAAAGGTATTGAAAAACATAATTTGATTTCCAGTCATTAGCACCTTATTTTTTATCTTCCTAAATACATGACCTGGTCTGTTAGGTTTAAAGTAATTACACACAGTGTTTCATCTCATCCACTATGCATGAGAGCAAAAAGTTCACCTTCAAGTGACCTTTCCATCCTGCTGGAAAACTACAGAATGTTATTACTAATCAGCAAGAAGTTTATGAACTTTCTAAAATCCTTCCACCTGTCAAGGCTGTGAACAAAGGTTTTGAAGAATGTTAAAAGTGTCCCTGGATTTTAATGAATGGGAATTAAAGAGTATAATTTAGTGCTGCCTAAATTAATTGCTATGCTCTAGTTGCACAGTAGCATAAGACAGGAAACAGATACCTGGCTAAATGCCAAACTTCAGTATTTCTTAAACCCATGAAAAAAATCCCAAATTGTGACTCCTGTGTACCACAGTGGCAATAAAGATGGCAGAAAACCACAAGCAAGTGCATATAGATGAACTCAGAGCTAACACTATGTGCTCTGAGAACACAGGCTTGCTTTCAGGACCTATGAGACCATAGCCTACTTGTAACGAAACCCAAGGGCCTGACATTTTAAGTCTGTCAGTTTTAAGTTAATTTATCCTTTCTAATACTCCCAATACTCCAAAAAAATCCAAACTTCAAACTAAACCAAAAACAAACAAAAAACCCAAACCAAACAAAAAACAAACAAGCAAACAAACAAACAAAAACCCCAAAAAAACAAAACAAAACAAAACAAAAAAAAAACCAAAACCAAAGCCACCCCACTAAGTGTTCTGTGTAAAACTGTAAAACAGTAACCACTGTGAACAAAGCCTATGCAGATTTCAGGAAACACACAATGAAGAGGTCCCTTAGGCCCTAAACTCCCATATCCTGCTTTGCTTTCTTCTTTACTCAGAGCTAGAAAACCATATTTTAGACTGCACCCTCTTAGAACGTCTGGTCACAGGAATCTCTTCTCTCTGCAGATTTATGCCTGTCCACACAGAAGTTCGACTGGACCCAGTAGAATCTCCTAGTCTTTCCCAAATAGAAGCCACAGCCAAAACAACACCAATCCTCTACCACTAGTATATGACTCCAGGGACCACCCAATGACAGAGAAAAGTTGGCACTTACAGGTCCCAGGCTCCTATAAATAGTGTACCACACCTAGATTTTCTGCTCAGACATCTTCTTTGCACTAAGGGCATGTGGTTACATTAACAGTGTATGTATTCTTAAGGCAAGAAGTGGAAAGATAAGAAATACCTTATTTTAAAAGAGAAAGCTCTATTAAGCACAACCTCATTAAAAGGTAACTGATATTCCCTGAATGCCTCCCATTAATTCCTTGTTGAACCTGTTTCATTCAAAAAATGCATTTGTTGTATTTTAAACCCCAATTTTCTGTCCTTGGTAGTGCAAGATGGAGTTCAAGAAGAACTCTAGAGATCATTCAATAAAATTCAACATATATTAAAATCAGACAAACATACCTACTACCTTCCTTCAGCAGTGCAATAGCAATCCGAATCCGATTTCTTAGGAAGATCAGCATCAGTATGATTATGACCTCAACAACACAAAGTATTATCACTGTAAACAAGCAAATAAAGAAATTAGATTTATCAAGAACCAAACCGATATGCTGCTTCTGTAATTTTCAAATTACAAACTTGTAATTTGAACTATTGTTCATGAACTCTGTAAAATTCTCTGCCTGAGCAGTTCTTTCTCCAACTGCACCTGCCAAACTTCAATCCCATTTCATAGGTTTTTAAGTGCCATTGAAAAAAAATTCTATGTGCAGTGAGTTAGTCAGAATGCACATGACCCTGATATTCATATTTTTAACAGAAAAATGGAACATATAATTCTCAGAGAAAGATAAAAAATTACTTCAATGTGACTGCAGTACCTAGCCTTAATTCAGTTCATCCTTTAAAAATTGTACTTTCCATAAACAAGAAATTTGCTCATAATACAAGCATTTGTTCATGCTATACTGTTGCTCATTTGTAGTATTTAGACAATAAAAAAAAAGGAGATGAAGAGTCAAGTTTTTCATGAAGTGTGCACATTTCTGACCTACACTGTTCTAAAATGTAGATATACTAAAATCAAAAGGTTTGTTTGAGTACTAACCTGGCATGAGCTCCTTTCACCTGATTTGAGTTAAAAAAAAAAAAAAACAACCAAAAAACCCAAGACTAAGATAGGACCATCCTGGTCAAATTACTTTCACCTTCCAATTGTGTTGCTAGAACCATGCTCTGATATTAGAGAGCAGAGAGCTCTTAGTTATAAGCAGTATTTGAATGATAACTCTGATTTCAGTAGAGTCTGTGTCTGTCTGCTTTCTATTCATGTTGGTTCGAAACCTACTTCTGCAGTAGAAAGTAAGAAAATTCTGGGAACTTCACCTAGAGAAGACTGAGTCTTTAATGCCTGAAGCACACATCCTCCGACTCTGACACATATCCATTTATTTTTGGTGCTTCAGATCATTAGACAACACTTAAACCAGCCCAGTAGGGGCAGGCTGTTGTACGCAGCAGGACCTGTGTCCTCCAGCTGAAACCAAGAAGTTCTGTGGAGGGAGAGGAAGACAGAATGGACAGTACCCTTAAGTATCCAAAAACTTATATGAAGGTTTGCAAAGGAAGATGACATTTGGCTTTAGGTCCCACATCTTAAACATAGTCTCAGAATATCAGACCCAATAGTCACAGATGATGCTGAATTGCAATCCCAAATATTACCCCAGCAACAGAACTGCAGGTGGCAAGTGATTGCTGTGGTGCTAAGAGCCACGGACCTTGTTCAGAACAAAGTTTTTGTTAAATACATTTCAATGCCATTTTCCCATGAAGGAATACATAAACAGGTTTCATTGATGAGTTGGTCTCATTCCAATTTGGCTCTGTTAGATTAATGTACTTGTCCAAAATATTGTGAAAAAGGCAAGCAACATCAGTACATGAATTCTAGACTAGGACTCCAACTATGTTTTCTTCAAGGGTATGTAACTATTTACTTTGCTGTGTGATATTGGAAAAGCAATTTAATTCCTGAGTACTGAAATTTACTCTTGTGAAAGTGACACAAAACTCTAGGTAAACTATACACTGGCTGCTAAGAACCAGGCAGGGGAAGAGCCTGAAGAGTTACAGGAAAAAAACCACACAATAAAGTCCTAAGATTCTCTAAGGAGAGCACACTAAAAAGCTTTGCCTCAACAATATATATATATATATATATATATAAGATGCCACATAAGCTCAATGATCCAACACAGAAGCAAATGAAGACATAAAGAAGAGACAGGATATTTAAGCAGCAAGTTACCATTCTATTAATTTAGCTACCAATAGAGAAAGGCAGTGTTTTTGGTTATGATCCATTCATCATCAGTTAAAAGTCTGTGTGTCTTCTAACAGAGCAGTAACAGGAGTGCAAGTAACATTAGAGTTATTTTTTCCTTCTTCTGCTCCTCCTTTCTTGGGGGGGAAATGTATGCTGCAGGTTGTCTTGTTCCAGTAGGATTTTGTTTAAAATGGTTAATTCCAAAGTCTTAGATCAGACGCCAAGAAAATTCAGTGACATAAGTGTAAACTGACAGGAGACCTCACTGTGGTCTTCAGCATCCTCACAAGGGCAACTATAAGGGCAGGTACCGATCTCTTCATTCTCATGAGCAGTGACAGGACTTGAGGGAACAGCTGGAGCAGGGTCAGGGGATTTAGGTGGGAAATCAGGAAAAGGTTCTTCCCCAAGAGTCAGGCACTGAACAGACTCCCCAGGGAATGGTCATGGCCCCAAGGCTGCCAGAGCCCAAGGTACATTTGGACAATACGCTCAGGCACAGGGTGGGATTGTTGGAATGTCCTGTGCAGAGCCAGGAGCTGGACTTGATCATCCTGAGGGGACCCTTCCAACCCAGCATATTTTATGATTCCGAGACACAAAAGGAATGCAGTTATTAATGTGACTTATTAATCTCATTTGTGGGACTCTCAAAGAGGGAGAAAAAATAATTTGAGAGAGAAAAGTACCCTTCCTCGTGCAACCTTGTCATGATGAACTCAATTATTGCCTTCTGCTTTCCCCATGGTGAAGACTGAACACACAGGAAGCAGAATGCTCATAACAAAAGATTTTTGCATTCTTATCACTAGTGTGATTGCATTATCTCCCCTTACAAATATACTAGTCTCCTTAAAAAAAGCATATTTTTACACAATACAGAGAAAGGGAATTCTGCTTTCTCCTCTGAGCAACATGTGGAGAGGAGGAGATTTAACAAGGCAGAAAGTGTATTAAGACACTGACTGATTTTCCTGAATATCCATTAACTGATACCAAATGTAAAAGGGCACTTACTAAATGCTAACCATGTTTGCCTCAGTTGCAGGTACACTTTGAAGTCCGTCTGGAATCCAATATCATAAACAGTGAGGTCAGATCCAGGTATTCCTTTAAGATGATCATACTCCCAGTAACAATGCCAGATGCCTTTTAAAAAACAATCAATAAAACAGTAGTGTGTCTGAAGAGGGCAAAGACAATTTTTTTAAAAAAGTCTTACAAGCCAAATGTTTTGCTTTTGTAGAAGCCTATCAGGTAAGCAAAACCCAAAAATGCATCACTTTGAGACTAGCAATTATGATATCATATATATGGGAAAGAAATATCAGTACAAGTGATTACAGACTAAGCATACTGTGCATAGGTAATGCAGATTACTACATCTGCTGCTAAGTATCAGCACAGCTGGATTCTTACTGCATTTTGCTGCCATTTATGTCCTTCTTACTTAATTGTGTCTAAAACTAGGCATTAATTCACCCAATTGTACCATTTAATTTAAGTAACTACTGATTTTCTAGACTTAAGCAGTAAGAAAAAATAGTGTCAGAGGCTAGAAAATTATACCTACCATAACCTATAATTCCAATCACACCAAAGATGAAAATCCAGAAGAGAACCCCAGCTGTGAACCTCAATAACACAAGGAACAGCAGACTCAGCATCATTGCAATGAACAGTCCACTAGAAAGTGAAGAAACAGAAACACAGGGAAAATGAGTGTAAGAATCTATTCACTTTCTTACATTCCTGTTATTCCAAATGAGGGTCACTTCATCTCACATAATAGCATGATTTGTAAAAAAGTATTTAAAAATCTTCATTATGAAATATATTCTCATGGCTGTTATCTGCCATTACAAACAAACAGCTTATATATGATGATCTCACAGGGCAGAGCTTGAAATGTTTATGTGTATGAGGTTCTCAGGCTGGTTGAATGGGATTAATGGAATACCTTTTTTGTCACTTACACCAGCTGAAAAGCTCAATGCCTGTTTCAGGCCACAGTCTAATCTACAGTACAGAAAGTGAAATTGGAGGAATACCTATGTGTGGGGAAGTTGCTGGTTTATGTCCTCCACAGAAAATCCCTGCTTGCAAAGAAACAATGTTAGTAAACAACATTCTAGAAGCTTCCTAGGAAAAAAAAATTAAATTTAGGAGAAAAACCATCAGGAGGTTAGGAGGACATAATTTCTACTCATCACTGCTTCTACTGATCAGAAGAGGAAATGATCAGGGCACTATGATGCATAGAAAGAAACTGTTAATAGCCTTTCTACGGAGTCCCTAGGAAAGACATCAACAGTGCCTTCTCTTCATCAAGATAATAATATAATATAATATAATGTAATGTAATGTAATATTTGTTTTAATTTCACTCCTAGAAAGAAAGTCAGAAAGGAAAAAAAATTATTGCAAAAGGCTTTTTCAGTCCGCATGGCTTTCTAAACAATTATGAAGAAAGCAATATGGATATTAATCCCATCAAACAAATAAGCTCATATGCTTCAAAGAACATTTCATGTCTCATTATTTTTAGTAGGTGTTACATGCAAATTTTGTATGAGTACAGACTCAAAAAAAATTAAACCCCCTTCTCGCCTGTGTTCAGTAACTTTTCCTCTGAATGTCCCCAGCTTATTTAGCCAATAACCAAAGCTAAAAAATGGGGCAGCCTGATCATAAAAAAATCACGTCAGCTTATTTAGTTAAAGCTTTCTAAGTTTGTCTTAAGTCCTGCCTCTATAATGGCTTCCTAGCCTGATGTATTTTCCCTTTCTGAATGATTTACTGAAATTCAGAATGTTTTCCTCAAGAAAAGTTGTAGTTTTGGAGCTCCATCTTGAAAGCAGTAAATTACCTTTAACTAAAATTATCTTTAGCTATACATGAGTCCTAACACCAAAACTGAGTACACAGTAGCAACTGTCTTCAGCAGACTAGTTCCCTTAAACTGAAGCTCGAAGCAGTAGTTCTTTTGGGGTATGTTAAAAAGACTACAGCAATATTTAAATTTTAATCCAGCCTCCCTTCAGTATCAAGCCTTCACTGTCAAAAACTTCACCCACACTCTGGCACTTAAATATATTTGTCCAGAAATCATTTGATCTATGTTATCATTTGGTGAAAAGTGTAAAGAAAATTCTGTCCAACTACTCTGAAGTGGCAACACTTCCTTACAAAAAAATACCATATTTGAAATGTGGAAACATGTTCCAATATTTAGAATTTCTGTTCAAAACAAAGGTCATTTCTGTGTCCAGTGTGTTCAGCGGTATCTCCTTTGAAAGAATCTGTACCACAAGCCTGATTTCAGTAAGAGATAGAGAGACCCAAGCTTGCTGAATATCTGTGAGCTTCCTGCTACTAAATATTGTGAGCTGAGTATCAGAGTATGAGAAACCTGTCTTTCCACTAATGACTAAACACCTTTAAAAGCTAACAACTTGTGTTTCTGAACCAACTAAATCTCCACATTATTATCTAAAGTATGTATTAAATGCTGTGGATTTGCATTCAGGATTAACTAATGTATGCTTAATATGTGTATGTTAAAGGTTCTCACCTGGCGATGACTTCTGTTCCTGTCTAAATAGAACACACTGGTCCAATATTAATGGGCTAGGAGTTCACAAATACTTACATATTTGCTTCAGCAAAGTAGCTACTTCTCTTGTTTTGGTGCTGCATTTTAATTAATTGGTGATTAATTAATATTAATTGCAAGATGAAATTAATACTGTTCAATAATTTTTGTTCTTGATGTTGCTTTGCCTGCTGCATTGGAGTTATGGATTTATATTGAACTTAGGGACTATAATGGGTTTAACTGTACATTGCTTGCACCAATTTAGAAACTATCTCTTTTATACATGTACTAGTGACATTTGGCAACTGCAACTGGTTTGAAAGTTACTTAATTAAGATTTTTCAGGTTTGGAATTGCTACACACATGGGTGCTGCAACAGAACACTGCTCCTCCTGATTTTCTGACTGGCAGGACATTAAAAAGCTATTCCAGACCAAGTGACACTCTGTGTGTATGCTGTACTATCCTTGTCTCATCCACAGAACCGTAACAACCTTAATATCATCTATGATGAAAGGAAATTACAGTTGCTCATTGAGTTTTAAAGTAGAATATGTACCAAACACATACACAATCTATTTTTTTTATTTCCTGCACATTTCAAAACTGAGTTTGGAAACACTAAAAGTACTAAAAAAACCCCTTACATTAAAATCCAATACCAAGAAATGGCATAGTCTTCAAAAATTTTCATTCCAACTGATCTTGCATCCAGGACATTATTGATGCCACTGAGAAAAGAGAAATCAAACAACAGGTTGCTTCAGGTAGAAAAGGAGAATTTATTTAAACAGCAAATACGATCAGTGAAAGAATTTGAAATATCTTTGGTAGTGATAAGAGTATACTACAATACTTCAGCTCCAGTTCTGCCACCAAGCCAATATCAATCACAGTTACAGCAAAGAAAAAATATGCATAAGAATGTCTCTACAATTCCTGAAAAAAATGAATTAAAAAGGCTTTATTGTCAGAATTGTTTATTATGTCACAAGACAAGTGTACACTATCAATATCTGCAATGTACCAAGGGACAAACAGTAATGATTCTAGAACTGCTAACAGCATAGAACCAGAAAACAGGTCAGTAAAGCAACTTCATGGAACTGTTTTTCTATCCTGCAGAACGCTTGCCTGTATAATATTTTTCTGAAGAACAGCCTAATACATTATGTTTTACCAGAAGCAGGAGCACTCAGATGAGGGGAGATGCCCAAAGCACTAGGCCAGCCCATGGTGGTAGAAAGGTCATCACAGAACAGCACAGCCAAGGCCATTCCTGGCTAGCCTGAAACCTGCAGCACGAGGATTGCATTTTGAACCTCATGGAACCTTCCTCGCAAAATTTATTTTTGCTAGGAAAAACAAGAATTATTTCAAAAAATGACTGAGACCATCAGACTTAAGCTTTTTGCACTTTTTTGCTCCTTTCTGCATATCACAGTTCTGGATTTCCTTAATGGAACTTTGGAAGTGCTCAGGTACAGAGACCATTTACTACCAAGTCTTGCTTGAGTAGCCTCAGTCATTTGCTACAACAGATTCTGATTTTTTAAAATTAATAAATTATTGTGAATCTCAGAATCCAACAGACACTGAAGAAGGGTAAAACCTACTTTGCAGCTTCCCTGAGATCAGTTACATTTCTTGTTTTCCCTCTTCCATCTTTGAATGTAGTCTGATTTGCCACGGTCAACACACCATTCTTCGTGGAGAAGTCTGGGAAGCATCTCTTCAGAACTATTCAAAATATCAAAACAAAGCCTGCATATTACATCTCATGTCAAGCTCTGCTTTTATCATGTGTGTTTTGCAACATATTTAAATAATTTCAGATTCACAGTCAATTGTTTTTCAGCTGATTATCTAGCAATATGTTGACTTTGACAAATCTTGGAAGAGCCATTGCATTCAAGATTATGATTTTTATGCTCTGAGGCTTTTTGTCTAAGCTTAGGCAGGGTGGGATCATAGATTTCAACTGGAGATTCTAGGTCGTACCAAAAAACAACAATACTATTCGTAGGAGTTTAAGAATTTGTAATAAATGTGGAACTTACTCTCTGGCAGTATCTGGGCAGCTTATAAAAACTACAGCTTCCCAAATATGCCATTTTATGGTAATAATCAGACCAGCCTCCAAGGACAGATTCAACTTGACTGGTCATGAATCATATTAGCCTCAAACCAATATATAACAGCAAGTGTCATTTTCCTTATATGCCAGATGAGCTCCAATACCAGCCACTATCACTAGATATTCTTGGAGATGAAGCAATGGAAAAAAGACAGAAACAACGGGTCAGAGAGAGGGAAGACGAGATTATAAAAAATCAAGAAAAGGAGATGTTTGCATACTCATTTACTCTGCCCTGTTCTTTGCTGCAAAACATCCTTGGTTTCATTCCAAAGAGAAGAGCAGGTGAGTCCTCCTTCAGAGGTATACTTTACATAACCATTCAGTGTTTCCCTTACCAGATTCCAGCAAATACTGATGCCAGGGCTCAATATTCAGTCTGATGTATCTCCCCCAGCAATTATTCTGACTAAATGATTAAACAACGTATCTTAACATATCTTTTCCTCCTGCTGTAATCTTTGCCCATTGATGTAGTCTAAAAGAATATAAGAGATTCTTTGCAAATTATTTTATGTCTTTTGGGTCAGTACTTCAGTTTTCATACAAATTCAGACTATGTTTTAAAAATTTAATCCATACCTTCTCCTTTTAATGTCCTGTTCCTGGTTTACATGATCCCTACTTTAAAGTATGACAAAACTAAACAGCAATTTCTTATTCTGTAAGATTCTGGGTCAATACTACACTTGTGCAGCTGAGATGAGCTCTGAGATCAGTAGTTATCTACTCAGAAACACTTGCTGACCATAGTGACATTTTTTGCTCCTGAATTCCTCCGTATGTCCTGCATAGCCAGCATTGAACTGAAAAGAGAGCTGCATTGTAACTGGGCTGAAGTATCATTTAAATTTCAACACCTGGCCATATGATCCTTCCAACATTCGTAGCATTTTCTTTATGCCAATGGCATCACTTGCTCTTGTTTTGGCAGGCACAATTTAAGTTGAAGAGCTTTTGCTATCAGTGATGATTCAAGAGCAAGAAAGTGCTCAGCTTGACCTGATCACACGCTGAATATTCCCAGATGACTGTTAGAAAAAATATCAATAAATATTTATATTTTCAAATTGAATTGATTTATACTTTAAAACTGAATGGATGTGAATGTCAGATAACAAACAGCTCCTAGTGATGTTGCTGCAAAACACATTTCAGACTGGAGTTGAGCTTTAATATGAATGCTCACAATCTACTAAGATGTGTATAAGAAGGAGAACTACTCACAAGGCCTGCTTGGAATGATCATCGAAGGGCAATCTTCATCACGCAGGACTTGAGCAACAGACTAAAAAGGGGAAAAAACAGGAACTCTGAATAACAGTATAACAGTATGTTTGTTTTTCACCCAGTCTGAAGGAATGCCCCAAACTGCGCCTTGTAGCCTCCTCCCCAAATTTCACTGATGGAGCTGCAAGATACACTTATATCTAAGTGAGAATCCAAACTGTCATTGTGATTTGGGAAAAGACTATTCTTTTCTTTTCTAGTGACATAAAAGAAATGACCTTTCGATCAGCATCTAAGCCAGAACGGACTGGACAATTGTTCCTTGCCCACCCTTCACCTTTTCTCTTAAAGAAAAGTAAGAATTTAACCCAATTAATATAGCTGAATTGCAAGATGTTTTAAAGAAGGGAAAAGTAATGCAGTACATTTGAGTGCAAAGTCAGTTATACGAAGGATAGATTAATTTTCTTGGCTAACTTTCCAAGTAACTACAGATGACTTAGGAGCCTTAAGAATTGATTTGAGACACTCTACTGCTGTGGGGTACTTCAGTACTAAAGGATACTGCTTGCCACAGTACTGCAACTGCATGAGTAGCTGCAGGTAGTCTTTTAAGCTAACAGCAATCATTTGAAGAGTGGAGGTTTAGTGTGCATTCAAGACCTTCAGCCTGGATTAAACAACTGTCAAATCACATAAATGGGATACCTCCTTATATGTTGGAATCAGAATAATTCAAATCTTAGATGCAGCTCAGTAAAATCATGCATATTAAATACTGCTTGAAGAAAAAATGTACTTTATCATCTACAGATAAATACACACCTTGCGAGGATTGTTAAAACCAGGTTTGCAGAACTGTCTGAAGTAATTCCACTGATCTGGTCTATATCTGTAGGAAGCCTGAACATCAATGTAGGTTGCAAACCTGTCTGGGCACTTTGAGACACAAAGCTGCAAGAAAAGAAAAAAGTAAGTAAAGGCACACTCTGGGTAGAGAAGGGTAAGAATAGTCGGTGTAATGGAACAGGAAGGAAAATGCCACTGCCTTCACTAATGTTTACTGCAGGATTTAGAAAAGATATGTTGTCCTTTTGATTCCCTAAATGAATACTTCTAGAATTCTTTGATAGAAAACACTTTCAAAGTGTGTTCTCCTCATATCTGCCATATCAAGCCCCTCTCTGTATCTTCTTATATTCTACACATTCTGATAGGCAAGAAGAGCTTTCAGTCTGTTGAGAAGAGTATTTTTTGGGGGGGAGCAATAAAAAACCTCTCAGGTTTTTTCCTCCTCTACATCTATCAGCAGCAGTATATATGAGCAAGGTGCTGTGACAGCTACTTCCACAGGATACATGCAATTTCTTTCTACTACATGTATAAGGAGAACTTTATTTAAAGAAAGTCTCACTAAAATCCGAAGTCTCGGGTACTGTTACTCCATCCTTCTACACAACCTCTTCAGTCAATTGCATCTATACAAATATTGTCAAGTTAGGTGTCAATCACTCAAAAGTGACTTTTAACTGTAGACTAAGAATGGAGTTACAAAGCCAGGGGATGCCTATGTCAAGAAGGATGCTCATGTTACTCAAGGTATAGCTGTTATAAGCTGGATTTATGTGAGAAATCAGGTGAGGACTAGGGTTTATTGAATGCATCCATTGAGAAGTTGTGATTTATATTTAGGATATGGAGAAGTGGCTGCCCCGATGAACAGATTCTGAAGGTACTGCTGGTCCCTGGAATCACACTAAGGACAGACATTCTGACTCCTCAGCATTAAGACTGTGAGGTGGTTTGAATTCCATCTTTACAGCAAGTTTCAGCCTTTTCTAGAAGGCACTTTGTTTCCAAAGCTGTGCTATCCAAACACCCTTTGCAAAGCTCTGCTGTCCAAGTACCAGAGAGACATCATGCATCAAAACTTTCTTTCATGTCAAGGGCATTCCGTCATAAGTAATTAAACAAAAGGAATTTTGGGAAGAGGTCAGGTAGAACACAGCAGATACTGCAAGGGGGTCTTTCTATACGAGTATTTAAGTCCTATGGACTACCCACAGGCCAAGGAACAAAGAAAGAAGAGTTTTGTCCTTGCTGGGGCAACAGGTGACTAGGCCAGTACACACTTCACTACAAACTGTTTGCTATCTATGAAACAGGCAGTGAAATGTGCTGTCTATGGATCCAATGGACTGTAATAACAGTTTTCAAATCCGTATTATTCAAGAACTGAAGCTCTTCTCATGTTAGTTCTTGGGGGCTCTTTCTCCTGCTATTTATATGTATAGGTCAGGAATGAAGGACCCTGTTTGTAGTTCAAAAGAGGAATAATAAAAAAAAAATTCTTCAGCATTTTTCAAAAAGACCAGTCATTTAACTATCTGTAGTAACAAACAGAATTCAAAACCAGCATTCTTAGTTTTGGAGCTGTTACATATTTGAAAATGAACAAAATAACTACTTTGCTCCCAAAAACTCTCCTTCAACAAGTATTTCACCCTATTTGATTACTGGCCATTGCCAATTTGACCACAGCACCAGTCAAATCCCACACAATGACCTCATATTTCTGAACAGACTGAACTGTTCTAGTAAAAGGCCTAAGGACTGCAGGGGAACAGTGTCAATGTCTGCATGGGGACAGATGGGGATTCCTGAAGCAAATCTGCAGCTGATGGAGCAAGTTTTCATTCTGACAGCAACTAGCCAGTGTTAAGAGGGTTCTTGCTCTTTCTTGTTGAAGATTTCCATGTTTTAAGATCAGGAAAATTGTCTTGCGAGAAAGATCAGGAGGTTAATCTTAACCCACACAAATGCAGTGACTGGGTTTATTTCACAACTCCATGAGGAGCCACAGCACAACAAAGAGAGTACAAACTGTGACATAAGGCAAGAACAAGCTTTCAAAATCTTCACTTTTGAAGAGCCATAGGCTCTAATCACACCCAGATACTCCTGTCACTGGCAATATGCACAATTTCTTGAACATGTTCAGCTTTGAAGACCTTAGGTGCAAATCAATATTTTCTGCATGCACTGTATACTACTGGATAGCTAGCTGTGATGAATTCATAAATAAAAAATTGTTGTATTCAAGTCAGCAGACTTTTTTTGTCTGTTCTTATCCAAAATATACCATCTCACACATTTCCATTTCATTTTTCTGACCATCACACATTTCAAAGAGTGTGCTTGCTACAAGTCATTTATAAAACAACCATGTTGTATTTTGAAGGAAATGAACAACAATTTTTAAATCCAAACAAATACATGTCTCATTTTTAAGCACCATGACTAAGATGCAGGGGAAATATTTTATCTCTACATTTGCACTCACCTGTGTTGTAGGGCACTGTAGGTTTATTAACACTACAGGGCTGGCACATTTCAGAATGTTGAAGTAAAACAAAATGGTCTTGTTCCTATGGAAATGGATATTAGATAATCATCATCATAAATACAGATGCTTATACATCCTACCATTCCAAAATTTGCAGCATACATTGATATTTAAGTTTTATTACTGTGAACATCCATATTGCAAACACAAGACAAAAAAGTACCCCAAGTAGACCTTGAATGTTTCACATCAAGACATCTATGAAACCAGAAGTATTTGTTCTAAAGAATGATAATTTTGACAAGTTTTTCTCCGCAGCATGATTTTAAGCTGAAACAATCCATGTACCTGTAGTCCTGCCTTGAGAGGGTAAGGTTTGTAAAATAACCCTGCAAAAACATCAGTCTCTGTGCCACCAACATCCTGTGTAGGCAGTGCATGCAAACGCACCATCAGCAAATGCTTCATTGTAAAAGCTGCCTAATTTTTGTTGATCAGAAGGTGGCACCAAAATCAATCAGAAGCTTTTTATGGTTGGAAACCAAAAGCAGCTGTCCAGAAAACAGGATATAATAGCATCTACTAATAGCACTGACAAGATGCCCCTTGATATAAATAAGGGTCAGTCTGTCAGTCCCACATATTTGACATCTACTGGAACTTGGAGCCTTGTGGCAGTTGTCACTTAAGTCTGGATTTGTTGGAAACTTAGGACCCCAAGATTTCTTGATTTTAAGACTTGGGTTTTGAAGACAGCAAATATGATGTTAGTCTTTGCTATGTCAGAAAATTATCAGATAGCTCTAGTGAAGATAACATGGCAGTAGACCTGCTCTTTTTAAACAAGACTTCAAAGCCAGCTAGTCAGGGTCATGCAGTGTCCCTGCATATGCACCCCACAAAATGGTGCATGTGCCCCCCTATGGACTATGAAGGGCTACCAAGCTGACCAGAGAGATGGAGCCCCTCTCCTATGAGGAATGACGGAGATTTGGGATTGTTCAGCCTGGAGAAGAAGAGAAGGCTTCAGGGGTGTCCTAACTGTGGCTTTCCCTGAAGGGAGCCTACAAAACCTTTAACCTGAAGGGAGCCTACAAAAAATATGGAGTTGCTACTTACAAGGGCCTGGAGAGATAGGACAAAAGGGAATGCTTCCCACTGACAGAGAGTAGGTTCATATGGAATACTGGGAAGAAATTCTTGGCTGTGAGGGTGGCGAGGCCCTGACACAGGTTGCCCAGAGCAGCTGTGGCTGCCCCATCCCTGGAAGTCTTCAAGGCCAGGCTGAACAGGGCAACCTGGTCTAGTGGAAGGTGTCCCTGGCCATGGAATGAGGGTTGGAAGGAGCTTTGAAGTCCCTTCCAACACAGGCTATTCTATGTTTCTGTGATGTGCAAGAGACTCCACAAAGCAGTGTTTGAGCCCCCACTGACCTTTACCATGGCATTGAAGCACAGTGGGAGCTCTGTCTTGTGAGCAGGATGGCAAAACTAACAATGAAGGGTGCTTGGGCTAACAAGGCTGCCCTTCTTCTATCTGTCCTGCTTCAACATCAGTCCTGCTTCTACATCTCATTGTATCCCTCAGTCCAGGGACATATCCTCTGTTCTCCCACCAGCATGTGGCTCCCACCAACTGCTGAATAGGGCTATACCATCAAAGACACTATATAGCACCACTGCACATTCAAACTCCATCTAAGACTGGGATTAACTCAACAGCCTGACATTTTTTACAAGGTTAACTTGTTTTCACTGAGGTATATTCTGCTATGCACTGTTTAAGAAAAGATGCATCCTGGCAAAACTAATTCACCACCACTAGTTGCTCTTTCTTTAAATTAGTAGAATACAATTTTGGACTGAAATGTCATCATTCAATAGTTTCTTGATGGTTTTTATGATCTGTGAGCTGCTCAAAAACATTATTGCTGGTATTGATGACAGAAAAGAAAGTTTAAATATATACATAACACATGAAAACACCCACTGAGAATTAGGTCTGTATTCTGCATAATGAAACTGTGTTTATTCCATTAGTACATTATGAGCTGTAGCATGCAAAACAAGTTCAGAGATTACGCATCAACTAATGGACAGATTACAAGAAGACATGAAGAGGTCTAACAGAGACTTTCATGATGATACAAAAAGAATTTATTTGACTGCATGGCATTCACTGGAGTTCAAATGGGTTTTTGCACAAGCTGTGAGTGTTGGCTTTGTTTCTAACTTGCCTTTTCTACTCCTCAGTGAGATTGCTGAAAATACTTGTTACAAGGACAAGATTCAAAATATGAAGATTGTGATTACTTTCCAAGAAAAATGTCTCAGACTAAACCCTTGGGAACGTCGGAATACCACAGCTCTGGGTTAGTCTTTCACACTGCTTACTTTCAGGGAATCTGAAAAACAATGGTATTGACAAAAGCGTCACAAGCACATCCTCAGCCCCACTCCAGGGACTAGAGGGTACCCTTTCAGAGGGGTATCCTGGCCCACTGCCATAAACACTCTTGCTTTTCTGGCAGATTGCATTATGTGTCTTCTGATTTATATTTTTATAAAAATCTCCTCAATGTACCAAATAAATGCCAAAATGCAGCCTCAGTAGCTGTATTATTTTCCAGCAATCCTATATAGGGAGGGTCATTTGTAATTACAAACCAAAAATCACAGTGTAAGAAATAACTAAAGACTCAAGTAACAAACAGAAAGATGGAATGGGAGTGAATGGTAAGAATCAGAGAGAAACACCTGGCTCCACATCACACAGGATATTGAAGCTGTGTGTCTAAGACCCCCAAGGCCATTTGTCCACTACCTCCTACTGGCAACAGAGGGGACAAGGACAAATTGGCAGTGAGGCAGGGAGCAGAAAAGTGGTGCAGTGAGGGGAACACACATGCCACTACAATTTTTTCCTGCTTGTTTTTCCTTTTCAGGAAGTTTGACTCTCCAACAATTGCTGTGAAGAGTAGTCTGAGGGTAGAACAGGTTTTCTTTCACTAGCTTGTTTCCCCCGTAAAAAAAACTTGAGAGGATATATAGCCCTAGCTCCACTTCTGTTCCAGTCTCCATTTCCTGCTCCTCCCCTTCTGAACTGCCCTTTGGACAGTGGCTTCCTAATTTTTTTCCACAGAAAACTAAATGGAGAAAGAAAGAAAGAAAGAAGCAGCAAAGAGTTGTTATCAAACACAGGCATAGCATCCAGCTTCTTGACAGTGAAAAGGGCATAAGGCATGCCTAAAACTTACCTTTTGAAAGGAAGACGGTGAGTGAAAAAGCAAACCTTTTTAAAATTCTGTTTTATAAACCATTTATATTTTCAAAGAAAACATAGATGCAACATCTTTCTTCCCTGAGCAACTATTTTCATGTGTAAGTACTCTGTTGGTATCAACTAACTAAATTAACTCTTACAATTCAAAATCTAAAATGACTGAAAAACAGAGACAAGTAAATAGAGCCATTTAGCTCTATTTACCTCCTGTTTATCCAAGGAGGATGTAGTTACAGCTGCCTGTCTCCCAGACTACTTAGTCTCCTTTCTACTGGCACAGGAAAAAAAAACAAGAGCCTTTCACTACAGACTTTTCTGTTATTTGGTGCACGTTGAGAAAAACTATAGACCAGGCTACAATGCCTTAAGACTTCTCTTATTCCAAGGAGGATGAAGAATTACTCAACAGGTTATGAACTACCCAAACTCTGGCAGCTAGAAGCGGTGCCAGTTAGTCACTTTCTATGCAACTGCTGACACAATCTTTAAGTTATATTGATACCTTACAAAAAATATTCTCTAAATGACATAAACAACTGCATTACAGTAATAATTTGGATCTGGATTTGCACTGGGAAACTAATACATTTCTGAGCTTTATCTGGAATAAATACAGTAAGGGTGTCACTGTCTCTTTGACAGAGATTTGAAACCTCACATCTTATTCGCAGTGCATGAGTAATAAAGATATGTGAATGGATTTAGTACTCACTGATTGAGGGTATCTCTCTGACCACAGAACTGCCCATAGCTGTCAGTTGGATAAATCACCTTCCTGGGGTCCCCGTGCACCCAAGCTGCAAAATACACGATACCTCTTAAGATATTAGTCAAGTGTTCACAGTTAATGATTAAAATTAGCTACCATGAAAATGTATCACTTCTAAAGTACCATTTCATACTTTGCAGATCAATACTGAAGAGTACTGATTAGTAGATTTCCTAATGAAATACTAAAATGCAAAGCACAATAAGTTCTACTGAGATACGGATTAAACTGTAAGAAAGCAATCCAATGCTCCAAGTCCCTTCCAGCCTGACCTTGAACACTTCCAGGAATGGGGTAGCCACAGCTTCTCTGGGCTTCACCACCCTCCCATGGAAGAATTTCTTCCTAATCTCCAACCTAACTCTGCCCTCTGTCAGTTTAGAAGCAATTTCCCCGTGTCCTGTCATTCCAGTCCTTGTGCAAAGTCCCTCTCCAGCTCTCTTGGAGACCATTTAGGCACTGGAAGGAGCTCTAAGGTCTCTTGGAGCTTTCCCTTCTCCACACTGAAGAACCCCAACTTGTCAGCCTGCCTCCACAGCAGAGGTGCTCCAGCCCTCGGAGCATTTCCCCTCTGGACTCACTCCGATATGTCAACGTCCTTCCTGTGCTGGGGGCTCCAGAGCTGGATGCAGGAGTGCAGATGGGGTCTGACAAGAGTGAAGCAGAATCCCCTCCTTTGACCTGCTGACCGCACTTTTTTCAACACAGCCGAGGATATGTTTAGCTTTCTGGGCTGCAAGTGTACATGGCTGGCTCATGCCCAGACCTTATCAATCCGCACTGCCAATTCCTTCTCCTCAGGGTTCCTCTCAACTCAAATTGTTTTTCTCTAACTTCTGCTACCTGAAATTTTCCATCACAGTTACTTTATGATTGCAAACTTTTCAAACAGTTTAATTTTGTTGAACACACTTAATTTTGAGGATTTTTTTTATCAGTAAACACGTGGCTTTGAATTTCTCCCTAATTACCTACAGAAAAGCAGCTCTTCAGAGAAAGACCTTGGGGCCCTAGGGGACAACAAGCTTTCCCTGAGCCAGCAGTTTATCCTCAGGACCAAGAGGCCAATGGTATCCTGCGGTGCATCAGGACGAGCATTTCCAGCAGGTCAGGGAGGGATCCTGCCCCTCTGTTTAGTCCTGTGAGGCACCTCTCGAGTGCAGGCTCTGGGCTCATCAGGACAAGAGGAACATGGAGCTCCTGGAGCAGGGTCAGCGGAGGCTGTGGAGCTGAGGAAGGGCCTGGAGCATCTCTGTGCCCAGGAAAGGCTGAAGGAGCTGGGGCTGTTCAACGTGGAGAGGAGCCCCAGCTGAGAGGGCCCTCAGCCCTGGCTGTCAGCATCTGCAGGGAAGGGGCAGAGGATGAACCAGGCTCTGCTCCAGGGCCCAGCAATGGCACCAGAGCCACGGGCAGGGACTGAGCCTAGGAAGTTCCACCTGAACATGAGGAAGAACTTCTTCCCTGTGCAGTGATTGTGCACTTGAACAGACTGCCCAGATAGGGTGTGGAGTCTCCTTCACAGGGGATATCCCAGAACCATCTGGACACAATCCTGTGCCATATGCTCTGAGATGACCCTTCCGAGCAAGGATGTTGAACCAGATGACCCACTGCGGTCTCTTCCAGCTTTACCCAGTCTGTGGTTCTGTGAATTCATTATTTGCTTCTATGAAAGGCATTACTTATTGATTGGAAAGCTTTGTACTAATATAAGCAAAAGGGACATTTCAATCAAAAATTCTAACATTCACAAAGCTGCTTCCCCTCTATATGAAAAGGCATTACTATACCTCTATTTACTTACCCACAACTCCTAATGCAATGTAACCCAGAATAACAACTATGAAGATCACACAGCAAATAATGTCTGTGCAGTGCCTAGGGGCAAGAAGAAATACTATTTAAAAATAAGGTGTTTAATATGACCCTTCAAAACCACTGACTGTCATATGGTATTTTAACTTCTGAATAAGATATCTGCACCAGCACTTTGCAGAAGTTTAGTCACAAACTCACATTTGTGAGTGCAGCAAGACCAGCAAATAAATGTGTATGCTTTTTTCCACTGTAGACAATGGAACATATTGAGGAACAGATTTAAATATTGTTGAAACAAGTAATACCTTACAACACTGAACCCATGAGATCACTTATCATACAAGTGATCATATAAGTGAGGCAAGTCATACTACAGGACATCTGCCTCAGAATTCATTTTTAGCATATGCCATTCTTTCTGTTTTCCAATCTATGTTTCCTCTTACAGAGAAAGATTTTTAACATAAAAGAGATAAAGGGAGCAGATTTCTTAAACAACTGGAGTACTTGAAATGTGTTTCCAAGTGTGGACACTTCTTTAGAGAGGAAGAGCTTTATCATCTCACTGAAATAAACTTTTGGTGAGGCCGAGGTGGTACAGGATCCACGGTCAATATGATAGTAACCTAAGACAGGACAACTGCTCAAAATTGAAGAAATAATGCTAAAACAATGCTTCTCATTTTTGCATCCTCCATTCAGAAGCAGTTCTGACACTGCTCAAGCTTGTCTTGATACACTGGCAATATCATAAAGATACTTCACAAATTAGGATGAACTCCCTAAACAAGTATTTCTATTTATTTCTAAAATTATTAGCTTTCAGAGAGGAAGAACTACATCCTGCATAGAAAAGGATAGTGTGTTTGTGTTCAAAGGATAGTATGACAAGTCTGCAGTGTTCTTCTCGGTCATAAATTTTCTCCTGAGAATGGTAAAACTGAAATAATTTGTGGTTCTCTAATTTGCTCTTCCCTGTAAGGGCAGTAAATGCTAGTTTAGAACTTAGTTCTCTACATCTGGAAAAACACTGAAAAATTGTCCATAATTAAAAATTGGACTTGATGGTCTTGGAGGTATTTTTCCACCTTAATGATTCTATGATTTTCTTAGATGCTTTCTGAGCAATTTCACTCTGCTTGTAAACTAATGAACCTTCTAAGTGGTAACATGCTTTCATCTGCATTTCATAAAACTAAGTGAAGTCAAGCCAGATTGTTCTGTTAGGTGGCTCTGTCATAAAGAGGTGTATCAGAACTACCACACATGTTAGACAGCAGATACTAGCCAATGCAAGGCACACAGAATTGGCATTCAAACCAAAAGGACTTAAGAGAACACAGCTTCATACTCCCTAGTAATCATCCATCCTCAAGGGTAGCAAAGATGGTGGCCTGGATTTAGAAGACTTGCAGAATCAAATTCACAAGTTCAGCTAAAAAAATTTTTAACCCCTGCTCTCCAAAAAAAATTTAACAGAGTAAGCTATGATATTTACCTGTTATGAACAGGTCCTCTGAACTTCGGGTCAAATTTCCTTGGTTCACCTGCATTTAAAATAAGACAGTATAAAAGCATGTCCTTATTTAAAATAAAATTTGTCCAGAGAGGGGTGTTAATACCAGCCTTTGAAGAGCATCTTCCATATATTCATATTTAATCAGTTTTGTTAAAATAATTTCATACGGGCAATACCAGAAATTCACCAATAAAATTACCTAAGTTTTGTGTATGAGATTAAAGCTTTTTTTCTTCTAACTTAAAAATATTGAGGGCCCCACATTTACCACATAATAAGTTACCTTCAATGTATATCCTATGACTATGCCTATGCACAGGTTCACAATGTATTTGAGAGACAAGGATCATACCTCCCAGTCACAGGCTAAGTGTGTCTGACAGCGAGTAAATTAACCCAACTCTCTGCAGTTACAGACTACGTGCTTCTGACTTTTCTCCAGAATCACAGAATGTTAAAAATTACAAGGGACCTTAAATATAATCTAGTGCCACAGGCGGGGACACCTCCTCCTACACCAGGTTGTTCAGAGCCCCATCCAAGCCGCCCTTGAACACCACAAGGGTTGGGGCATCCACAGCTCTATGGGCAACCTGTTTTTCATGTGGCTATTCTGGTTAGCACAGTTCCAACTGAATCACTCTACACATAAAAAAACCCCTATATTAAAAACCTACCAAATACTAGCCCACCAACCTGTGCTTCCCATGTGGACCTGAATAAGAGAAATTAAAGTATGATTTCACTTGGTAAAGAGTAACAAAAAATTATGGTCAAATTAAAATTTTCAAGTTTAGGCTACTGTATGAAGAGAAACAAGCAGCTTTTCATTCAGCAGACCAGAATTTGGATTTTTCTTTTGAAGCTAGCTATTCAGCTTTAGGGGACTTCCTCCTTACAAAGTTCAGTGATTATGAAAATTTACTGAACAAAACTCTGTGCAATGAAAAATTACTCCTTCATTCAAATGTCAAAGCTACAATACAAATTATTGCTTCAGAGTGCTTTTTCACTGCTTTCTTAAGGATCTCCTCCTCTGAATATCCCTGGTATTACATGGTGTTACCAGCCTAAATTTCCTCCCCTGGGCCCCAAAGAAAAATACTCATTTTTGTCAATTAGAGAACAATTCAGCAACTTTGCAAAAGCAGAACTTGCTTATTAACTACATGCCAGACTTTGTTCTTGGTTTGTATCAGAAAAACCTTATCAAAATACACACACACCAGAACAATAAACACAGCAGCTAATAAAATCCTATTTGTCCTTCATCTGAGGTACTCAGATCCACCTTAGCAAGCTCCTGCAACAAAAATATCTTAATACAGAAGAGACCAAAAAATTAAAAATTTAGAGAAGTGATGTATGACAGCAATGCTGGGGAGGGGAAGAAGCTATGCTGTGATACGTGGTCAGGAAAGCAAATGTACCATACCTAATGTTGGGCCAAGCCCTGTACAATGAATGAACCTTTTTGAACAGAAATTCCTACAAAATAAATATTTCTACCACAAAATAATTTATCACCAGAACAAAACCATATGTAACATCATGCCCTATAGACAAGCTCTGGCTTTAAGGCACACTGAAGCTGAACTTCTGTTCTTTGCTCCTACAGGACCTGTTTAGCATTTAAGAACAGCCACACCAGATCACACAAAAAAATCTACTGAATGCACACCCTAAATATTATAAGGGGCCATATCTGAGGAGGAATGCAACACCAAGGCAAACACTGTAGTATTTCCCCAAAACTGATATTACAGAGATTTTCAACTGCATTTTTATTAACTGAAAGTACTGACTTTGCATTTAATAGCTGTGAGTGAATTTCTTTTTCATTCACTGAAAAACTGAGATTCAAGGAATCTCTATTTATCTTGCATATACTTTAACAATCTGCAATGCTCTACATCACAGAGTACTACAAGTCAATCAAACATTGACGTATTACCTCCTTTTTATCTGTTTTAAGCTTGCAATCAATCACTTTATTACTGCACGGTGTTACATGGCAGCATGTTATGCAAACAAAAATGTTACAAATTACTATACTCAAATACCCTCGTCTGCTCAAATGTTTCTTGTACACAAGCCATTTCATCGTTTTGGTCATGCTTATATTCCTTTTCTTAACCTTTACAGTGCTACTACAGATCACTAGAAAAGAAGGGGCCAGAACGGCACAGGATATTCACCACAAACATTGGACGTGATTTATATAATCCCATAATACCTCTTTCTATCTGACTTCAGTCCATTCCTAACAATTCTAATGGTCTACTTGCTTTAATGGGCAAACATTTTTACTGAGTCACCCATTAAGACTCCAAGTTCTCACTCCTGAATTTTAGTAGTTAGCTCAATCCCACTATTGGAGGAGCCTAGTCTCCAAAGCTATTCAATGTTCTCCTTAAAAATTAGTACAATGAAATAGAATGAACACTTTGAAACTGTGCAGGTGGCAAGTGCTAAAATACTTCTGGAGATAGAAGTATCTATCAAAAAGGATTTTTATATGCAACACTTCGAAGTGATTTTTGTAAAGTAACAAAAGTTGTAAGAACAAACTCTATTCAGGAATCCATATAGAACAACTGATTTCAAAAACAGTGTTGAGAAGAATCCTAAAGGATTACAGCACACTACAAAGAGAGAATGAGTCAGTCAAGCAATGTCTGCAAAAAAAGCACCACTCTTTCAAGATGTACAAGCATGTTTGAAAAAGTCACTGTTCCTTGTCCTTGGGGACACGTGAGGCCTCAAATGAATAACTATTTCTAGATCATGGCACTAGAATTTCAGAAGATACAAACAAATTAGAGAGAGTAGAGGGACTTATTAATAAGAAGATACTAGGAGGTTTACAGAAAGAAGTAAATGAATGCAACTTCAATGCCTGTGATAAGCAAAGGAGCACAAAGTAAGAGTCTTCAATCACCATACAAAATTTACAATGATCAGCAGTTCTGTTTCCTCTCCCAGGTCGATAAACTCAACTCATTTGCAACAAGGATGGTTCAGATTAGGCATTAGGAAATCTTTCAGGACACAATTACATACTGAAACACACACTGGAATTTTCATCACACTAGGTTTTTATGAAAAGATTATACAAATATCACTTGAGAAAACAACAGGAAAACGTAACATCTCAGCACACAGAGAGCCAAACGAATCTAATAAATAAGATGATAAAAACAAAGCACTACAGAAAGGGAGCTCAAATTCAAATGGAGACTCTCATCTCCAACAAGCCAGAAGACAGATGCTGTGAAATCGAAGTAACAGCCACTAACAGCTGTAAAATTACTGCAGTACTGCAAACTTCTTCCAAGACTGTTCCTCACACCAGCAGTCTGTATGCTTATGGTGGCACGGTATAGGGCAACATGGCTCAAACTACCTGCTCTGTCACTGAGCTCTTGGCATAAATTCATTACAGAATATAGTAAGAAAAAGTAGCAACATTCTAAGTTCAAAATACACTAGAATTCACTGTCAGAAGTAGTCTGGATCCCTGAAACACTCGTTACAGCTGATCACAACTGTGATCAGTTTTACGGAACAACAGAAAAAAAAGAAAAATGCCATTTGTTTAATCTAATTTTTCTAACTTAATTATAAATTAAATTAAAACTCCCCACTTTATTACTACTATTCTTTAAAAATTCAGAAGATTTTTTTTGGGGGGTGAGGTGGGAATTATTTATGTTTCTAGTATCTACATTGCTCCTGGTAAAAGCAAACCACTTCCCCAGTATAAAAGCCCAAATATATTTAGAAAGCAAATTCCAAGCTTTAGGACTTTGGTAGGCATAACAAAGAAAGCAGTGGTGAGGGCGGACTTACACCTTTCGCTAAGATTAAAAACTGGGATTATATTTTTTCTTTGCAGATGAGACAGATCTATTTTACAGGCTGCCTTATAATACAAAACTTGTGTATGTTGAAGTAAAATATCATTACCAGAAATAACTGACATGTTATTTACAAATTCTGACTCCAAACAACATATGAAGTTAATTGTTACACTTGTTACACTGCAATAATTTTAAAGAGCAACTCTAAATTACTTACCTAAAGTAAAAATCAACAATATACACATGTAAAACTTACCTTTGATGTGCAGTTTAAATTTACTAGCAAATGACATGCAGAAAAAAAATTATAATATTGCTAATAATTGAAGAAGTTACAGGAAACCATTTGAGTCTGCATTCAAGCCCATTTAAGTCAATTGAAATAACACTGTTGAAATAAGTGAGATTTAGATCGGGTGTTCTGAATTGTTCTAAGAAAGCAAGTAAATTACCATGTTTTCCATAGTAGTTTTCCTCATCTCTATCCATGTTAGTGTACCTGGATGAGTTGAGTAAGCTGTCTGTGTGAGACACCAACTGTGTACTTCTGTGTCGCTAGCTAGCATACTTTCCCCAGCAAGCAAAGATACATAAAAATACTATCTAAATAGATTTAAAAATAATGCTGATTGTCAAGGACTTCTCCAACCAGAACAGAAATTCACAAAGTAGGCAGGCCTTTCTGTGAATAGAAAGTTATCACTCAGTGCCTTGTCCACCTACCCAAGCCAGTCTGTACAAAGAGGAATGACTCTTATCAGCTTGTATTAACCTACACTGCACAAGCAGAAAGGGAAACAGCTGCACCTGAATACCATTAATGAAATAAATATATGGAAGTCAATAAAACAAAAAAAAAATTCCTGATGATTTGCTAATTGAAAATAAGGTTAAACACTCTTAGCTGCATTTCTGTAACCTGTGCTACTGTGACAGTAAATCATCTTTACATGCAACAGATGGCCACATCTTTCCTCCTCTATACATATGACTAGCTCCCCAAAGTTCAAGTCATATAAGTCTAAAATGTAAACTGTCTGCTGTATACTGCATTTCCAATCTTGTCAAATGGAAATCTATCTGTAGAAGGAGTCATCATTTACTCAATTATTTCTTAATAGTATGTACTTTTTGTATTTCTGCACAGCACAAAAGTGCAGAACAG